TACTCTCAGTCCGTCCTGGCGTCCTCTGTCAGTCGGTGCTGAGCTTCAGGCCTGAGTCCTGGTCTGAGTCGTGGTGTCGTCTCCGTGCGGTGCTGAGTCCTAGTCCCGAGTCCTAGGTCCTGAAGTCCTGGGCTCCTGAGTCCTAGGTCCTGAGTCCTAGGTCCTGAGTCGCTAGGTCCTGGTCCTGAGTCGGGGTGTCCTTTCTCCGTGTCCCGTGTTTAGTCGTAGGCGGCGAGTCGCTAGGTCCTGAGTCCTCTGGTCTGAGTCCTAGGTCCTGAGTCCTAGGTCCTGAGTCCTAGTCCTATAGGTACTGGTGTCGGTCTCCGTGTCGGTGCTAGTCCTAGGTCCCGGAGTCCTAGGTCTGAGTCCTGGGTCGCTGAGTCCTAGGTCCTGAGTCCTAGGTCTGAGGTCTACGCAGAGCCTAGGTCCTTGGGCGTCCTACGTTCCTAGGTCGCTGAGTCGCTGGTGTCGGGTTGTCCTAATCGGTGCTAGACGTCTCACACACACAGACATATGGCCGGGCAAGTCTTACAGTGGTTTTTCGTCTATTAAAACCCGTTCGTCACGGCAATAGTGCTTGCTACTCTCAGTGTCGCATGTCTTCCCTTCGCTTCTTCGTTTAGGGGGGGCTGTCAAATTCGGATATCGTCGTTTTGATCCGCCGACGTTATATTAGTCTAAGGATTGTAGTTCGAAATAGTTTTTCCCTTCCAGAATTCGGCGGTGAGAATTCTTTGCCTATCGACAGACGCGGCGGCTTGTGTTTGACTTCGACATAAGGTGGTTTTCACGCTCGAAACTATTCTTTTCCGAGACCGGAGGGTACGATGAAAATGTAGGCGTATCCTGAAGACAAAAGAATTACCGAATGACATCTCTTCAAATCCATTTCTTTGTCTCTTTTGTTTGGGATAAGAGTTATGGAATGAATACACATTTGCAACGCATGTCTTTTTAAGGGCTACCAGAGTGTAAGCCACTCATTCTCTAGCCAGTGCAGAGTTCTTTCCGTCTGTAGGCGGTCTACTTAAGACAAAAGAATTTACTGGTATTAGACGCATCTCTTATCCATTCTTTGTCTTTTTTTTGATTTTGATAAGAGGTTCGGGGGTGGAGTTACGACGTATGTCGTCATTGAACTCAAACAGATGACTTTTGAATGGTAGGAAAAAAGCGAATTATTTTTTATTGGCGCAACAAGAAGGTCAAAACTTGTAAAACATAGTATAAGTACGATGTTTGTGAAGTTATGGCTATCTGTACGGATGCCTCGGCTAAACGACGATTTCGACAGACGGAGTTCTGTGTGCCGTACACTGGGGTTCAGTGTCAGGCGTATCTGAAGACAAAAGAATAATACGGAATTGAGACATTTCTTTACCTTTCTTTGGTCGTTCTTTTGTTTGGGATTAAGACGGTTATGAATGAACCACGTTTCAGCCGGTGTACTATTTAAGGGCCGCAGAGGTAAAACAATCGGATTCTAAGGCAGTGCAGAGTTCTTACGCTTTTGAGACGGTACTAAAAGACAAGTAGAA